CAAAGGGGGAAAAAGAATAACAGTTGACCTGACAATGTAAAAGGAAATAAAAACACCAAACACCAACCATACCATCCAAAAGCAAACATTTAAAATCCAAATTCAAGAGAAACATTACAACCACACAACATGAAAAGAACCCTTTTCGGAGAAATACTTGTAATTCTAACATATAATCAGAGCGAAAATCCAAATACCAAAAGATGCCTCTGTAACTGTGACACATGAATTTATCACGCACCAACTGCCCGGTTAGTGGCAAGAGCAATTTGAAAATGAGAAAATTCACACGATAAACAAGACAATTCCAGGACCACCATGAGGATTTGTACAGGTAAACAAACTATTTATCTCTGTAAAAGGTATCAAATTCTTTTTCCCCCTCTTTTGAATTGTATACCATAATTAAATTGGAGGCAACAGAAAGTACAAAGGGGGAACTTTCTGAATGTTATGTCAAAGTATTATGAATATTATTTTGCACAATTTAGATATCGGAAAAACCAAGACGTAAAAGAGTTGGGGTCAACTCACAGAAATATGTTTGCTCTGTTTTTCCATCCAATGCATGAGTTGTCCTTTTATCCGCCCAACAGCTTCATACCAGAGTGTAAGTGCAGGCTCTACACCTGCAGGTGGCCACTGGCTTTTTCCACCATCTGCCAAAGGTGCTAGGATATTTGAAAGCATATTGCATAGTGCATGATGAAGCTCACTTTTGCGTTTATGTGGTGCACGATTGAGGGGGTTTGCTTTTGCCACAAAGGAAGCAGATGCATTCAGTCCACCCTCAGTTTTTACCTGACAATTACTTAATAGTTATAGAGTTGTCCAAATGTCAATTTTCCTATATGAATGTTATTTTCCACATACCCCAAGTTTCAAGTAGCGCATTCCATTAATGATACTAAGGGTTTCACTTCTGGCAACACTAGTGTCGATTCGACGAATACTGAGCTCCATGAAAAAGCGCTCAGTGACAGAACTAAACCTGCACACCGTATATAATACATTAACTAAACTTGGACAGTTAATCATATTCGACAGGTAAATGTAATAATGATGCCAGATTCTTTAAAATGACATGCATCAATGAGTTAACTTACACCCAACTTCACCAATGATAGATGACAAAGATGAAAACCAACTATCAAAACCTAGTGTTATTATCAACTACAAAGCCTAAATCACACATATCACAAATTATTAAAAGATATAAAATCAACAAATAATAGATTTCAAATCCACTTTGATAATGACCAAATAGTTTTTAATGTTTTGCAATTCTTTTCTTCTTCTTGCAGGAGAGAAGGGGGGGTTTGAGGGCGCAAGGGAGTTTGAGGATAATGATAGCAATTTCCATCAATTCCAAATATGATAACTTGATATTCAGTCACCTGATGCGAGATAAGGCCCCTAAGAGCTGAGCGACTAAGTCCAGAAGGAGTCCTCGCAGATCAACCAATGAGGGATATTCAACCTGGCTAACAACCCTGCAATGAGAGTATAGTGAGTTGCAATCAAGATGAATTATATGAGCAAATGAAAAAAGAAAGCTTTTAATGTGTTTTATCAAGTTTTGAGATATGTGTTCTAGTCCTTGCATCTCTGGCTCTTCTACATTGCATACAACCGCAGGGAATAGGGCTGTTGATGGGGAAGTTCAGCTTTCAGACTTAGATCACTAGTAAATAGCTCTAGCAGTGTTCTACAATCCTATCATCCCTAAGGCATTATTCTTGATTCAATGTTATGCTAAAACTCTTCCAACTAATACACAGAACAACCAGTATCACCCAGTTAATCATTCCTCTTTGTTTTCTTTTACACCCAGGCATGAAAGTATAAATTCTTAGATCCAAACAACATCCTGGTACTTAAATTTTATTATCAATATGTGTAACAAAGTATCAGAACAAACACAGAAGTGAATAGCGAGGCAAAATGCAAACTTCAGCAAGACCCACATCTTTTTTTCTTTCCTGATTAAAAGAGAAAAGGTAAACAAAAAATACTCCATGCATATAGCAGATTCATGGAAAAGTATGACAGATACAAGGAAGATAAATGAGAAAGCATCAATGCGATGAAGGATATAGGACAGTAGTTGCTCAAGATTAACATCAAAGAGGTAGAACTTAGTTGACTCCATATGGAAAAACTAGCAATGTTGGTGTACGAAGCTCTGAGTTTAACCAATCAGACAATCACACAACATATATCCAAGAAGTTCCTACAACCAACTATAGCTTTACCTGTCAGCATTAATCAGCCAGTCAAACACAAAATTTTCAAGCCCAGACCAAAGTTTCTCTGCAGTAAGAACAAAGCTTGTTTTATTTCGCTGAATAGCACAACTTCACAAGCCTCAAGGTAAAATCAAATACTGATGCAATGAACTAACCTGTAAGTCCTTCTTGTGGACAGCACTCAACAAAGCGAATACATGCTGAACAAAAAATGCACTCCACCGCAAGCTGAGCATCAGCAGACATAGTATGGAAGTTATAATTAATGAAGCAGACTCCCCAATCACAGATACAACTATATAATATAAGTATTAATTGACATACATTGAAAAAATGAAAATCTCATAAAATTTGATATTCTTAGTTGCTGTACTATGCAATAAAGAGCTATGAACTGCATTGATGTTATAGGTCGAACTTTTTTGACTTCCACCATATACAATAAAGAACAAACGCATCCGGTCAAAGAAACAAGCTTTTGACAAACCTTTCTTTGGAATGTAGATGCATCATTTGCACCTTTCGGGGATTCACTGCAACAAAAAGATTCCCATGTTACAAAATCATATGGTAAGACAGAAAACAAATAATAACTCAGATCAACACAATGAGTTGACATATTATAGCTATACCAAAGTCATTATAAAAAAGAGGTTACAATAAACCTGGAAGGCATCAGGTCTAAAATAACTAGGAGGAACGCAGAAAAACATATCTGTGGAAAAGGGAGAAACCCACCTTTCTCTCCATCTTAGAAGAGCTTCTAAAAGAGGTATGGGCGTATGCCGAGCTACCATAGCCAAGGAATCCAGTACTTGCTCATAAGCAGGGTCAGAAGGTCGGAGATATTGCCCATCCTGCAAGTTTCCCACATAACAAAATGAAGACAAACATCACATGTTAGATTAATTCCAAACCCACCATAGCAATACATTCACTAACGGCAAAAGGCATTGACTCATTGGATGAAATATATCGACTATGCACAGTAACAATGACAATGTTGGTACCAGTTCTACACAAATAAGGGGACCTCAAAAGGAATTAGGAGTCTAGGACGACCACTTACAACTATTTTCAACTTTTTCATTATGGCTATTACTCTTTCCTCGACTAATGTTATGAAATCATATCTTGCTGCGGTCATACGAAGATTACAAAGAATCAATGACCACTCTAAGTAACTCTACCAAGTTCCTTGTGCCAACTAAGAACTATAACAAGGCATGCTGGAAACAATGGAACTAAAGATGAAGAAGTATCAAAACAAGTAGAACAAAGATCTTTATCAACGATGAAATTAGATTGTTCATTTCTCCACTAAGGAAAGCCAGAGGTAGAGCTACATAGATACACAGACAGAGAACTGAAAATCCAAATACAACCAAATAGGTGAAAATTGCAGGAATTCAAATGGATTTGAATCACACAACGGACCTGAGCTTGAGCAGTCTCAATACGACGCCGTGCGAGTGGAAGGAACCGCTGGAGCAGGGCGTCCACGATAAGCTTCGCGGCGCTTCCTGCCTTCATTGTTTGTCTCTACGCTACCAGCTAGCTTCGACCCCTTTTGCTCGCATTCGCTTCGCGCCCAATTCAAACCCTAAAGTAGAAGAATTTGTGAAATTCGTAGTGAAATTGTGGATTTTGGTAGCAAAATTTTGGAGCTTAAGGATTCAGGAATGAGATCGTTGTTGAATGTAGCTAAGCTACAACAAGAACAAGCATAATTTTTATTTTTTGGCCTTTTCCAATAACAGACTGTTTTTCCTTGTTTCATTTGCAGACTTTCCTTTTTGAGTTTTTCTAGTCGAAACTTTCCTTTTTGAGTTCATGGGCTAATACTTGGGCTTAATACCAACAACTTATTATTGGGTCGAATCTTTCTAAAAGTTTCTGATGTAGGGTGATTTTCTGGACACCCTTGAATTGTCTCTGGATACCCAGCTTCAAAGACAACTTCTTGACCCAAAAAATGTTAGGGAGGGGAGATTTAAACACATGTGCATATAACCTTTGTGGAAGATAACTGCTCTTAATGACTTGAGTTACAGGCTCTTTGTCAAAGACAATTTTTGGGTCAAGTGTCTGAAGACAATTAGGTTCTTACAACTATCTTTGCTAGTAATACACACAAAAATTCAGTAACTACTTCCAATTTCTCATTTATCTTTAGGCAAAAAGTCACTTTTTGGTTCCTGTCGTTTGACGAAATTTCGACTTCCATCCTTGTATTTTAAATTCTGGTAATTTAACCCATGTAGTTTATTTTATTACAATTTAAGGACACGTCCAAATATCCATCCAATGTCTTGATATAATAAACACGTCTCTCATGTGGAGGGGTATTTTGGACAGAATTTTATATGGAATTGGATGGAAATTTGGATGTGTACATGGTTAAATTGACAAAATTTAAATTACAAGGATCAAATTAAAAAAAGAGACAAACTATAAGGATCAAAAGTGACTTTTTCCCTCATCTTTATGAATACTGATCAAATTTTTGTAATGCATTTAGAATCCCCTAACCTTAATAAAAAAAATGCGTTAAGGAGAACCCCAACCCAACCATATTTTCCCTAAAATAAAAGAGAACTTCATTAGTATCAAAATTTTGGCGGGTAAAGTTCATATACATGAAAGCATTTTTCTTTATTTATTGAATTGTTCTTTTTATTTACATTTGTATATTAATTCCAAAAAATTAAAACTTCGACCTTCTTTTTCATTTGCTTGTTTAAAACGCAGCGTTTGCAACTGTCTCGAAGTCTCTAGTCGGTGTAGCTGACCCATGCCACCGTTTACACACAGAAAGGAGCTATGAATCTGTGAGCAAACATTGCACTCTTCTGTCTTCCCCCCCCCCCGGTATAATCCCTGTCAGGTGATTAGTTTTTTTTTAAAACTTCTTTTTCATTTTTTATTTATTTCTCTTCTCTCATCTCATCTGCGTATAAAGCTATTCTCTTTAGGATTATTTATTTATTTCTTTTAAACTTGAAGAAGTTAAGGTTAAAAAGTTTGCTTGTTCATATAAAAGAAAATAATTTTGTGGAGGAAGTAAAGATGAAGCCTTTACCTACCTGGTGAAGGGTCTTAAAATTATGGCTTGTTGTATCTAAAGAAGCCCATGATGAATAGGATTTCATGGAGACCATGGCAAAAGATGGTGCAGCACAAGAGGCAACTGTGACTCCAAACAAGGTTGGTGTCAAACTGTCAACTCTTGTTTTTTTCCTTGGTTGGATTCTTAGATATTATTATCTATTATTCAGTGTATTATTAATTTTGACTCATACTTTTCTGGGAAAATTTGCATTCATCCTGTTTTCTGAATGAAATTTATCTTTGATTGGCAGGATGTAAGTGAACATAACCCTAAAGGGTACACAGTTATCTATGTTTCAGGTAATTAAGCAGTTTACAATATTTTTGCAACTTCTACATTTTGCTGGTGTGAAACTTTTGTTGGTGCAATTTGAATTTGATCATGAACTCTTTCAATTTTGTTTTTTCCTTCCTGTCCACCTTTGTATTTGTCGTGGAGGGATCGAGGACTGATCTCGAGTCTTGACAGTAAAATATCCAAGTGACATGTAACAAATTTCATTTGAACTTTGGTTTGTGGCTCTCCATGAAATTGTACCAACATTCATGGTAATTTGTCTCCCTGTTAAACAATTAGCTTAGGTGATCAGAGTGGGTGTGTAAGAAGTTTTTGGACCAAAGGAACTAAGAAATTCTTATAATAACAGTGGGAGGTGCTCAGCTGCTGTGGCAGTGTCCAAGTTCTGCACTCAAATTTATACAAGTTTATGGATTGGAAGTCTTCTCTTGAGCTTGAGCACCTTCACCTCATTTTTGTATCCAAAACGAAATGATGACGTTAGATGTGTTAGAATGTTTACAAAGAATCCTGCCCATGTAGTTATCTAAGATGACTTGCTAACCTTCTAATTGTTGTGCCTGCTGTAGTTACTCCTAAACTATGCTTTGCAGGTGGTCCAGGTAGCGGAAAGAGTACGCAATGCGCCAAAATTGCTCCATACTTTGGGTTTTGTCATCTGAGTGTTGGTGATCTTCTTGAAGCAGAAGTTGAGACTGGATCTGAATACGGGTATTCAATTCAAAAGTTTCTTTCTTTCGTTTGTGCAATACTAAACCAATAATTTTGCTTTCAGCTTCCTAATACTCAGACGTAAATATTATAATTTTGGCATATGATGGAAATCTAGGAAACATATGTTTTGGATGAAACTTCTATTATGCATCTTGTTGTACACATATTTTATTGTTACAAATTTCTTTATAGTAAAATGATTGAGGACTGTAAGAAAGAAGGAAGGCTTGTTCCTTCCGATCTGGTTGTCAAGCTTCTGCAACAGGCAATGCAGAGGAGCCAAAACAAGAAATTTGTCATCGATGGCTTCCCACGGAATGAAGAAAATCGTGCTGCCGCTGAAAGCATTGTAGGTTTGCAGTTTTCTGTTTTGTTTGTTTAAGCTATCAAATTCTTTGATAGTTTGATTACATTGCTTAATGTAAAAACTATTTGCGAATAGCATAAGTTTTTCTTTCACTGATTTTAACATATTCATATCTCATTGTTCTATCTGTTCCATGTGCACAATCAAAACTTGTGCTACAGATGAAAATTGAGCCATATTTTGTATTGTTTCTTGACTGCTCAGAAGAGGAGATGAAAAGACGTCTTTTAAATAGAAACCAGGTGAGCAAATTGCCCTTTTTCTTCTTCTTTAACTTACAAATTTTTCAATGTGTCTAACTTCTGTAACTCTTTTTCATGCATATTGTCTGTGGATTCAAAGGGAAGAGTTGATGATAATATTAACACAATACAGAACAGAAGCGTCTTAAAGTCTACTTTGAATGCACTCTTCCTGTAATCAATTATTACAGCGCCAAGGGCAAGGTTCGAAAGGTAACGATCTTCTCCACAAAGCTTCTGATTGTAACATTTCATGGGAAATGGTTACTTTGCCTTTTGCCAGTGAATAATATTAGTCCTAGTTCAAGCCTTTTACCCTATAGTTTATTAAAACCGACAAATATATACATGAGCACGCTCGAGTGTTTCACAATTAGACGACTAAATTTTGTTTAGCTTGGCTAATTTGACCTAAAAATTTGATTTTCCCATAAGTAGCTTATTTTCTTCTTCTTCTTTGATTTTGGCCTAGATTGATGCTGAAAGGTCTCCTGAAGAGGTATTTGAGGCAATCAAGGACATATTCTTTGAGTTGAAAGAGAAGCATGGGGAGACCGCCGGACGCCTGTAGTTTATCAGGATAATATTGTATTAGTTTGAAGTTTCCCTGAGATAATATGTCAAGATAAGCTCGAAGAAAATCGTGCTGCCGCTGAAAGCATTGTAGGTTTGCAGTTTTCTGTTTTGTTTGTTTAAGCTATCAAATTCTTTGATAGTTTGATTACATTGCTTAATGTAAAAACTATTTGCGAATAGCATAAGTTTTTCTTTCACTGATTTTAACATATTCATATCTCATTGTTCTATCTGTTCCATGTGCACAATCAAAACTTGTGCTACAGATGAAAATTGAGCCATATTTTGTATTGTTTCTTGACTGCTCAGAAGAGGAGATGAAAAGACGTCTTTTAAATAGAAACCAGGTGAGCAAATTGCCCTTTTTCTTCTTCTTTAACTTACAAATTTTTCAATGTGTCTAACTTCTGTAACTCTTTTTCATGCATATTGTCTGTGGATTCAAAGGGAAGAGTTGATGATAATATTAACACAATACAGAAGCGTCTTAAAGTCTACTTTGAATGCACACTTCCTGTAATCAATTATTACAGCGCCAAGGGCAAGGTTCGAAAGGTAACGATCTTCTCCACAAAGCTTCTGATTGTAACATTTCATGGGAAATGGTTACTTTCCCTTTTTCCAGTAAATAATATTAGTCTTTGTTCATGCCTTTTACGCTATAGTTTATTAAAACCGACAAATATATACATGAAGAGTGTTTCACAATTAGATGACTAAATGTTGTTTAGCTTGGCTAATTTGACCTAAAAATTGGATTTTCCCATAAGTAGCTTATTTTCTTCTTCTTCTCTGATTTTGGCCTAGATTGATGCTGAAAGGTCTCCTGAAGAGGTATTTGAGGCAATCAAGGACGTATTCTTTGAGCTGAAAGAGAAGCATGGGGAGACCGCGGACGCCCGTAGTTTATCAAGATAATATTGTACTAGTTTGAAGTTTCCTTGAGATAATCTATCACGATAACCTCTTTATTTTTGGAACACAAAATGAATTTCAAAGAGGGATCCTCTAGGAATTCAAAGAGATCGATTATCATACAATATCCGAAGAGCTACAAAATGAGGAACATGATTAAACCAAACATA